CATCATGAAAAAACTTACCTAAGGGCTGGAAAAACAGGAATGTGTTGTCATGAATCCTGCTAATGGTCAGGATAATGGAAATGACTTGTGAGTATTTAGGAAGGGGCTTTTGCATTATTTCAACCAGTAAATGAGTGTGGAATATACCGTCTGTGTGCCATTGCTATAAGAGCACCACCTCCAGGAAGGATACCATTTTCATGGTTAGGTTCCCAATTCCTGCCTGCTTTGATTGGTTGCACATAGTGTATTCCAGATAAATGAAAAATATAAAAATATATAAAAAAATGAAACAAATAACACTGTTATTTATTGTTATTGCACAGAGATGTAGACTACCTAGAGAGATATGGAGTCTGCTTAAGGATATCCGTAAATATTGAAGATATATATTGAAACAGTATAACAAGTAATAAATGTTGACCTCAGAAAATGGCATAAAAGCAAAAAATCTTCATGCAAAAAAAAAGACATTAACATTGTAAAGGGGAGGCAAGGAGTCTTGATACTATCAATGTGTGCCCATGTGGGCCAGGCCTACAAGCCAAACAGCTTGGAAAGTCACCATTCAAGTAAGCCTAATGTCCTGATCTTGGTCCGAGTGTGGGCCGAAAACATTTGAGTCCAAGTCTTCAGTAATAAAATTATTTTGGCAGAATTTTATCTGTTTATTTTAGACACCTGTATAGTGTAACTAATAAAATTTCATACAAACTTTCTGGGGGAAAACACCCATAAAATTCCCAAACTCAATCCACTCCTAACAACTACCCAAAACACAATCACACAAATACCTATGTATCACATTTCACACCAATAAAAAAATCAACACCCATACAGACAACATACAACATAAAGAAAACTGAAAACTGGGTTTCCTGAGGAGGAACCTACACGGCTATACACAAAACACACAGCTTACAACACATTTGTCTGTCCATCACCGGAGCATTGCGCAACAGCGTGGGTATAGTATAGTTCATTTATATATTGGTGTAACACACAAACATATAGATGAACTAAAAAAGATAAACACTACAGCACCCAGGTTCATTGCGAACAATCACACTACCTCAACAGGTATCAAACAACTAAATATGGACACCTTCACAATACGAGACATCCTCATAGATTAACAATCATGTTCAAAATTCAAATAATCAAACTGACACAATATAAAATCAATTACTTACAACACACAAACACAACTAATACATAAAATGCTTAGAACCAGAAATATGTGACACCACATTAGTGCAAATTCCTACAGTAATACTTTCCATGTACTATTCGTGACTTGAACAGACTCCCACAACACACAAAACACACAAACAAAGCAGAAACCTTCTACCAACTCATACAAGCCAACCTCAAAACACATGCATAAATGACAATTCTTAGCCACCCTCACCCTTATCCCCCCCCCCTTATAGCAGTTCTTACCATTATGTGCTCCTCTTCAACTGATAGGAAAAACTGCATCTTCTCCTGCAGCTGTAAATAAATAATAAAATCTATAACAAAAAACACTTTTAATCCAAAAAACTTTGAAATTAATCTCTTGTTTTTTATCCACTCCTAAATTTACATTTTTCTTCATAGCACCAGTAATATCCAATAAGAAGGTAAATCTTTACAGTACCAATGCACTTGCCAAACACAGTAACTCCACCTCACAAAACTTACTCAACACACTAAGTTGCCATGATTGGGCATAACCTACAGGCACTGCCCAAGGGGTGGGTTGATGGGGAGCTCTGCCCCCATTCACCCCTTGGGATATATTTTCACCTCAATATGCACAACAAGACAGGGCTGAATCTCAAGAGCACCAAGTAGACTTAGGTTATATGTATTACCATTTGTGTCTGCAAATTATTTTCTGTACTGACAACTGCAACTTTTTGTCCTTTACAGGAATATTATCTTTGATTTGCCCTAGCTTGGTTTGTCCGTACCATAAACATTAACCAAAATTGCCCTCCTTTCACTGATGAAAATTTATTTTAATATTTATAATAGATAAACACTAACATGGAGAAAAATTAGTCTTCTTTACAATTTCAAGTTTCAGATGTAAATGGCTTAACCATTAGGGCCTTTATAATCATGACTTTATAACATCTATCATTAGACTTGTATATCTACTGGATGGATTGATAGCTAGATGTAAATATATCAGATAGCCAGATAGATACGTATTTATTTGTGTATTTGTATGTCTGTATTTATAAATATTTCTTGATACAGGCCTTGCACAATTTCAACAAACCTGCCCCTAGTCTCTGGTGCGTGCATCCATACTGTAAAGATTTACCAATTTTACAATTAAACTTGATAAATTCTTCATCATTACACTTTTTTCTTTTTTTATTCATTATTATATCTATTTCTATGTCTATATTAAGTATGAAAAATAACAGGAGGAAAAAAATGCAACAAATTTTCCTCCAAAAGTATCACATCCATAAACAAAGAAATCTTTCCATATAACATACAA